TACTACTATGACGCTGCGACTCGTTAGAAAGGATGGGCTGGGGAATTTGCCTTTCAATGTTATCTATTAATTAAAATCTCAAATATTTTTCGAAAATATCTTTCATTTGCCTTTCAATGTTATCTGTTAATTAAAATCTCAAATACTTTTCGAAAAATACCTTTAATACTCTCTCATAAAATTTTATAGGGAATCTGACATTCTATAAAATAGTGTTAAATGTTTTAAGGAATTCTTAAAAAAAAAACCAAACAAAAAAAAAAAAAAAAACAAGTAATTCGCATAAGAAATATTGTAAAGCTTTTTTTAAAAAAAAATCTTGCTTGAATTAGAATAATCCGATACTTAAAATAAACGTACTATTAAATATGCGTTACGCATCTCTCTTTCTTCTCTCTCTCTCTTGTTTTAAAATCACATAAATTAATCTTTCATTTGTACGTATATTTTTAGACCCAAAACCAAACTGTCTCAGGTCATTATTTAACCAATCGATGGGTCGACAAAACGCATTTTGCCCCAGAACATAGTCAATGAATGTTTTGTTATACCTTTGCATCTTGTGTTGGCTTCCATGATGTAAATTTACTTAAACCACACTGCTATTAAACTTGGTCAATTTCGTCACTGTCGAACACCAACCAATGCAAATGAGATTTAGCTGATCCCGCCCACAATTTTGATAAGCGGTCCAATTTCTCATCGACAGGTCAAATATCTTACTTGCGACCAAACATAGATTTTTTTTAGGACCGCTCAATACAACATTGGAAATGTGTATAGATTTATATAGAAACCGATTTTTAAAGGCATAGCAAAATTTTGTGTTGTACTCTGGAAATCTTCAGAATAAAGTCTGAAAAATATTGTAGGGAGCAAATGTCAAAAACGATTTGTGCACGTGTAGAAATGATAGAGGCTGTGTTCGAGTGATTAAAACTCTGTATCAGACAAGGGCGGTCTGTGAGAAAATGGATTATCTGTAAAAATCTGAACAGAAACTTTGAGTTGTTAAAGTCATGGAAAGAGAAAAGCACTTCACAGTTGCTGATCTTGTAAAATAATAAAAAAATTAAACATAGGCAAACGAAATTATGCTACTGGTACGATTTTTAGCAAAATGAATTAAAATTGATAGAGAAAGGTTTTTAGTAAGTGGCTATTGGACCTAACTGTGTGAAATATAAGTTTGTTTGTTTGTTGTTGTTGTTTTTTTAAACACCATGACGCAATGTTTTTGACGTAATAATGTAGCTCCGGGGTTACCAAACATGTTGATTTTAAAATTAAGTAAATTGATTTCTGTTAAATCGAATTAAATGAAACTTCATGCATCTACAAAATAATTTTTTTATATAAGAAAATGTGTTCTTTTTTGATATTTCTTGAAAGTAATATGAAAGTAATATAACGAACTTTCCAACAACCCTCGTATTTGCGTAGCGTCGTTAGGTTGACGTCATAACGTCATAGTGGTGTTATTTTCCAAAAGAAACTTTCTTTATTCAGACAGCTTTGTAGAAAAATTGATTTGAGATAATTACAAAAATTAAGCTGAATTAAAAAGAAGACATCTTAGACATGTTTCGAAAAAAATCTTCATCAGATTTGGGGACAGGGCGGATTTTGGTACATAACGTACCTTCTTCTTTGTTACAGAATTGTTCAAATTTAGTATGAAATCTTAGTAGTTAGAAAAACAACAACAACAACAACAACAAAAAGAAGCGCTGCTCTTGCAATGCAAACCGTAGAATAGGTATGACCTCTCGACCACAGCAGTGCAATATTGGATTTGAAAGGAGGGAGCAAATACTCTCGTATTTTTTTTTTTTTTTTTTTTTGCAAAATTTCCAATCTTTAGAAATTGTCCCATTTAATTCTAGTTCATTGACAACGTCAATTATTAACTTGTAGAGACAATTACGCATCAATTTTATGACATGCAGATTAAAATACAATTGGAGAAAAAAATCATTTAAAACAAGCATTCTGAGAGTATTGCATTAGCAATATTAGCCCCCTACCGGCAAGTGTAATCTGGTTTCCGATAAAAATTGAAAATGTCATCATTCCGTCAAAAATCAATGAAGTGGAACGAAATACAAACTTGATCTATAACTCATCAAGGTAAAGTCACATACTAAAAATCAGCTCAATATCTGCAATCTAAATTCTAAATTAGAAAAAAATGCGGAAAACCAAGTGGGACAGACTGACAGACAGACAGATAGACGGACGGACAGACTCAGAGGAAACCTATAGTCCACTCCGGTTTCACCGGTAGGGGACTAATAAATTAATTCCCCAATCATTACTTCGATGGCTCAGTTAAAAATTTGTCCAACCGATTACACTGTATCCACCTTTTTTTTTATCAAACCAGTTTGACCAGATGAAAAGGATAAGACTTTAATGGGCGGTTACTGAGAAAAATGAGATTTAAAATTTTCAATTTTCATAGTTCGTAGGTTTCAATGGAACTAGTCGTCATTTTGAAAAAAAAAAAATTAAATGCTGAGTACACAACTAGACTTTTTGATTATAATTTTCGTGATGATATGTTTTTGTGAATCGGTAGAGTTTCTTTAATTATGATAGGTAATCGCTCAATTGAAAAAAAAAAATTAAAACGCCTTTCATTGAATTGAACTTTTCTTGCTTTTTTCAGCCCAAGTAGTAGGCTGCCGTTTGGGCTAGTATTGAATACTATGAAACATGGAAAAAAATCTATAAGCTCTCTCCATAAATTGGGGAGGGGCTTTTGACACGAAAAAGGGGAGGGATGGGGACGTTTCACCAATTTAAAAACAATTCAAAACTGAGAATCTGGCAAATCACCAAACTTAAAAATTCCTTTTACGATTTTTGTTGAAGGAGGGAGGGATGTTCTCATTCTCATTTTCAGAAAACAAACAAACAAACAAAAAACAAAAACAAAAACAAAAACAAAACAACAACAACAACAACAAAATATGAGAAAAACAACGTGAGATGAAATGAAAAAGGAAGGCATTTTCAATGAACATTTTCAGCAAATTTACAGCAAAAATTATTCTAAAATTATGGGAGAAGGACTCCCTACCCGATCTGGTACTACGGACCTGCAGAACTTTGGAAAAAAAGAGCACGGCGATAATAATTTGACGCTCCCGACGTCATACGTATATACGTTTTTTCGTGCCTGTGACAAAATGGCTACACTTTCATTGATGCTTGCATTTATTTTGTGTAGATCATTACCGTTAAAATTATGTAATTATTTAATAAAGTATTAAATATTCTTTCAATATACATAATGATTGGTATAGATATGACATTAATCATATATTTATGATATGTAACTGGGACATATTAAGTAACAGTACAGTGGCTCGAATGTGCATAACAAAAATGGCTACACTTAACAAAGCCTTACTAATATTTACGATGGAAAAGTAATATAATATGTATCAACACAACTAATTTTAGAAATATATGTACTAAATTAAAGGATTATTCACCAAAATTAATCTTTGGCACTTATGTATGGTACACATCACTATTTCGGCTAATGTCAACGTTAGAAAACGATTTTTTTCTGTTGGACATTTTACTTACGCACTGTATATTCATCCCAAACTCATGAAATTAAGAAAATGATGTTGAAACTTCAACAATATCAAAATGAATGATACACATTATTGTATCCGCTAAACTTCATTTAATTCAGAGGATTGAAAGTGCATCTTTTCATATCTTGTAGTTGCGTGAACAATAAGATATTACGTCGGACTCGGGAATTTTGCCGCAATGACCAATAATGAATAGAGACTTATCATACTTAAAATATTTTTAGATTATTACAAATAGAATTTTTAGAATAATTTATTATCTGGGATAATGTAATTAATTTCATCTTTAATTTCTAGTAAATATAATACCTTGAAAACACCAGTTTCTTTGCGACTTATGAAGAGTCAGGCGTTATAGTACCAATACGGTGTGTGGTGCCATACTTTTCGACTTTGGAAGAGTTGCAGATAAATATGGTTCAGGTAGCATAAATTTTATGCCCTTCAAATCTCCTTCATTTAGTGAAAATAATTTTTCGCCTTGAGTGTCGATTTTTCTTATTTGCCAAGTCTCTGTGAACAAGACACTGGAGTTAGATACATGACCAAACTTCTAGGTGTAGGTGTAAAGTTCTCATCGTTCAAAACCGTTTTATACTTAACCACACGCGCGAACTTACACAAATTTTGCTGCTTCCGTGATATCTAATGCAGAACATGGCATGTTTTTTTTTTTTGCATTTTTCTTATTCCTCCACTGCCTGTGTACTACATACCGTCCTGAAAGGGAGTTATATACATGACCATTTGATTTATTGGAATCTTGTTAACTAAAGTGCCATTTGCACGAAAAAGTATGATATTATAAGACTCCTGGGAACTAACAAATATTTGGCTGTAGCCAGCATATCTAATACAGTACATTGCATAAAATCTGCAACGTATGGTTCTTGTCATCTCGGGATCATGAAGAAATTTTGTAGTAACCTCTGATCTTTTGTGATAGACATTATATATTATGTTCAAGTGCATTCGTTTTGAGATGAGGGGATACACATTTTACACAGAGTCTTATACATATGTATTACGGCGTCCATAATAGAATACTTTCGGACTAGTATAAATGTTCTTGGTTTTAAAACTTTTATCGGTAATAATTTTAACTTGTAATAAACATTTTATTAAAATAAAATTCGTAAATTGAATACTAAAAGAAATACTTATTTCTCTGTCATCTTCAGCCTCTCTAACTATAATGAATATACTCAAAAATTGTCATTTTATAAACAGCATTGTAAAGTTTCAATGCCCTCTTTCGAATAGTCCTAAAGTGCATTGTAAAGGGCTCACTAATTTATCTATACATATAGTAACTTCTAATAAATCAACAATGTTTCAAATAACAGCAATTCTAACATATAACCAGTACACAATGCATATATTATTTCATGTTTGCTTTTGTAAAGCAATTTCATCAAAACTGAGTATAATGTTTCGTTTTGGGTTTAGTGGACTTCCATCTTCATCTTCAAGGTCTTTATATTGTCTGCAGTATAAAAAAGTTAAACATAATTAAAAGGACATGGTGAAAAATACCATTCTTATTAAAATTAAGAAGGGGGAAAACAATACGAAAAACTACTAATCCCCAACGTGAAATTCAGAATCACCGAGAATTTGCCTTTTGCGAAAATACTTGAAAATACTTTATGTCATATTTCTCTTACTCGGAACTTACCTGTCTACGCCTCTGATTTCACGGTTTATAAAATAAAATGATTAGATTTCATTATGTATTTAAATCGTTTTGTTATGCGAGATAACTTCACCTGGCTGGTATCAATATCTATAATTATGTATTTATAATGAAAAAATTAAAAATGAAGAGCTGTTATCGATCTCAAAATTCTATCAGCAATACAAATCTGTGAACAGGGCATAAAATCCGAACCCCCAAAAATTCCACATGTGGGATCAGGTGCATAAAAGAAATAAGTATCCTGTTGATTGGTCACACTTGCCGTAAGCCTATGCACCCATCGACAAAACACTCCAGTTAATGCATTTAACACGTAAACTTTGATAATCTTAAAAATCTCTCTCCAAAAAAGTTCCTCGCATGATTTGCGAGTACCATTAGAGATTTACGTTGTGTATTAAAGTTATGAAACAGGGATGGTTTTGATTTCTTATTAACGAATGCTAAAATCTTGATAAGTTTTTCTGAATTAGAGATCATTGTTTTATTCATAATAAAAACCCAAATAATTAAATTTGGAATATTAAAAAATACAGAGATTTCACAAGTTGTAGCATAATGTTGTTTGTCGATATTTCGTTTTGTTTGGGATTGCTGAAGGGCACTTTTGATAGAGTCTTATTAACATTTATTCTTACCAAGAAAACAGAACTATATTCATAAAAAAATTGATGACTTTGGAAACTGTACTGTTTTGACCTCTATTTCATAGAAACTATTTTAAATGGGTGTGGGAATTAAAATAATTACTAAATTAATATTTACTTTAAATAAAAGGAAATTGGTATTTTAAAATAAAATTTCAAGAAATATGAAGTTATTTCACCCCAAAGCCAAAAAGCTCTTTAATTGAATCGATATGATTGAATCATCTAATAATTTGCGTTTTTACTTGTGATATGTCTAACTTCAGGGGGTTTGTTACTCTGAATATGTCTCCGAGAAGTAAGTTTTTACACTTTCTTTCATATATTTCTGGAGATTGTTCCCCTTCTTCTGAAATTATCACATCAGGAGTTTTTTTATCATACATGTACATCTAAACACGATATCAAATGACTATTATTTCTCATTTTTCCTGGGATAGTGTAATAATAAAATCAGCCTTTTCTAACTGGTAGATAATCATCCGTTCTTCCCTCTAACTTTTTCATTGGAGATGTGTTTCCCTTCTTTTCACCTTGAGCCTTGAGATTTGTTTATCTCACTGAAGGTGTACCATCCTACCTTTGAAAATATTTCACTTGAAGTTTGTTTAGCTAAGTTTGAAACGATCTTACTGATAATTTGTTAAAATTTTGATCATTTTTAATTTGTATATGTGTTTCAGCGTATCAAAAGCGTCTATCATATGCAATACTTTATAAATTATTGTTTTGTTTCAGCCATATACTTCACGACATTTACAAATCTTAAAACAAATCAATTAGATTCTTTTGTATTTCACCATTGAACCTAACGAGAATAAAATTTTAATGCTTGAAATATACTCATGGTTTCATATATTGGAATTGTTTTGCAAATTAATATATTTCTAAAATTAGATGCAATGTTTAACTCCTTAATTATATTCTAAGATAAGCTTAGTAATACATACACCAATTCGACACCTGATTTATCCAACATTTCTTTGGATGCCATGTATTTTCCTTCGTCGGCTTTTTTCTGGTTATCTTCTTCAGCCTTCAGCTTGTCGTCCGCATAATAAATAACCCTTTTGATTCCGGATTGTAATAATAGTTTGGTGCATTCGTTACATAGAAAAAGTGTGACGTAGATCGTGCAATCTTTCAAATCGGTGCAATGTCTATTAGCGACAGCATTCATTTCCGCATGACAGACTGATAATAATCCAGATGTACTTATTTACGGATTACATATAGCACTTGGAGCAAAAAGAGAAACGATGCACTTTATCAATATAAAACAATTTCTGTAAATAAATATTTATACATTTACCATAAAGATTTTTCTTATTGTCTGACCAGTCGAATGTTTCATCATTATTCTTAATGGAGTCAACAAATCCGTTGTATCCAGTCGAAACAATTCTGTTTTTCTCGTTGACGATACATGCACCAACCTGAAAATATATACTTTCTATGTGTTGAAATCAATGTAGAAGTGTGCGTTATGGGTGTACATTAACTTATCTGAGTATATATATCCAACTTTTATCAAATAAAATGTCAAATAGATTTTACGGTAAAATTGAAACCCATTTTTGTATCGAACTTGACCCAAAGTAGTTAAAAAATAAGAATATGAGTAGTAACTACGTAATACGAACACAAAGAAATACATCAACACAGGTTTACTATTAAGACATCTATGATTTAGTTCATTTATGTTGAGGATGCTATAACATTAATGATATAAACTGAATGTAATAAAATTACATTTTCGTTGTAATGTTATGGGAGAAAGGAAGCAAAAGTATGTATTCATATCTATGTTAGGGACAACGTAATCTAACATATAACCTGGGGATTTATAATTTTCCATAGATTTAGATGCTTGTGCATCTAGAATTTGAAATCCAATATAACTTGTATTAACAGTGTAATTCAATGAATCTGATTTGCTTGCGATATATTACATACTTGATGCATGAGTTGCTCATTGACAATGTTTAATTTGTAGTCTATGACGGTCATGTCTTCTAAGAATCTGTTGAATTCCAATGGTACTATTTATGCCTTTTACTAGCAGCCCTGTTGGTATATTCTTATGATGCATTATTTATTCAAAATTCTAACTGGCGTTTTTAACAACACTCGAAAATATCAACATTAACAGTATTCGTTTTTCATTCACACATTAATTTATACGCTTTTTTACAACCATTGCCTACGATAAATTAAGGAGCAGGCTTTTTGATATCATAGACATCTGCTTCCTCAATAAAAATGGAACTCGAAATTTTCACATCTTGTGATTTGTCATATACATTATGACTTTGTTAAAAATCACTCGAATTCTATACTCTGAATTTGATACGCAGTCTGTTAATGCTGCATAAAGGGGGCGGGCCTATTTTATACGGGGAATGTTCACTGTGACACTGATCGCAATGCACTTGCCGACATGACGACATGACATGACATGACATCATGGTAAAATTTGACGCATTTTGTGTTCAGTGAGAAGCGGATCAAGTAATTTTTTCACAGTGAAAAATGCATTTTATTAAAATCAGAATATTATTTGCAAATCGTAGGGAGACAATTAATACAAATCTGATACCTTTGTTTAGTGCCATTATTTAAAAACTATCGAGAGAATGTATTGAATTAATTCTACCGTATTTTTGTATACAGGGTTTGTATGTTTCAGGCCGAGGTGCCTCATTAAATCGCCTTTTCGCAATGGCATACACATAATAGATCTTGATCATATTTTGAATATACGTAACATGCAGAAACATTCCTTAACTGGAAAAGTGCTGCTGCTTTCCTGAAATCGGGAGCATAACTTCATAAATACATAAAATACTTGGTAAAGGTCACACATATTTCGACTAAAGCCAAATAACTTGAAATTTAAACTAATAAAATGCGAATTCTCTTTGAAGCAGCAGCACTTTCCATAAACCACAAGTAATGTAGAAACAATTTATTACTTAATTTTTTAATTTTAACTAGGGTATGCCCTTGCGATACAGAAATTTGTTTGTGACCTAGATACAGTACACACTACATGCATTTATCTCGTGACTGTTAAATAACTTGACCAAACCAAATTCAGTTAAGAGCGGGGTATACAATGTTATTTCAAATGATATTAAAGTCATGTGATAATATAGTAGCTTCAAAAATAAATTCAGTTTAAAAAGGTATGTATTTATGCACGTTTATATTCCGTTGATTTCTTCGTAGTACGCCTAAACAGTGCTGCGTATTGGAAAGATGCTGGAGATCCTCAGTGACATCTATGTAGTCATTAGAGACCAGGTCTTCCAAAAATCTGTTGAAAATTCGATGGCCACTTATTGTGCTCCTTTATTAGCCGACCTATTTTTATATTTCTATGAAACATAATTTATTCAAAAACATGTGTATGGGAATATTTGATGTGGCCTTTAACAAAACATTTAGATACATGTATATCTATGCCGTTTTATCAATTAACAATAATTACTTTCATTCATATGTTGACTCGAAATATCCCGGTGAACTCAAAATAAAAGACACTACTGAGACAGCTACATCTGTTTCATATTTGGATGTTTCGCTGATTATAGACGATAATGGCCAGCTAATAACTAAGCTATATGACAAACCGGATGACTTCAGCTCTTCCATCGTCAACTTTCCTTATCTTTGTAGCAATATTCCAACATCACCTGCGTCTGGTGTTTATGTCTTACAAGTGATTCGATACTCAAGAGCATGCTCTGAGTCCAATCAATTTTCTAATCGATGTGACAAATAAGTTGATGTTACAAGGATTTCTACCTCGTTTTAAGTAAGCTTTTCGCAAATTCTACGGTCGTTATAATGATCTTGTTTGTAAACATGACCTATCGTTGGATTTTATTTTGTCTGACATGTTTCATACCATTTAATTGTCAGGTTATTGCTTTTATACTAAATTTGTCTGCGGAACACTCCGTCTACCTGATTTACACATAAGGCTTACGGAGGGTTCGACAGTCGACAGGGGATGCTTACTCCTCCTAGGCACCTATAATTCCACCTCTATTTTCCCCAGGGGTCCGTGTTTTTGCCCTGTTCAAGATTCCTCTTTTCTGAGATTGATCACTTTTCGTTATTTTCTTCTTTTACATTCGACATTGAACCCATTGAATTCAAAATCATCTGATTCATATTTGTATTCTGCACTAGAGAAAGACATTGAAAGCAAAGTAAAAGCTTAACTTAATGATAAAGTGATGAAGTCAACATTTTTTATCGTCAACTTTGCTCACTTATGTAACAATTTACTATAATCGCCTTCATATGGTGGTTATGTCTCCCAGTTGAGTCGATACGCAAGAGCATGCTCTACGTACGAACACTTTCTAAACTGAAACTGAAAAAATAATTGATGATGGAAGGATATGAACAATCTCTTTAAATGTCAAAATTACAAAATGATATGGTCGATACAAAGGCTTGATTTTAAATACCATCTGTTTTTAAGTCAAATGCGGTTTTTCATATAAATCATTATTTTCATACTAATTTGTTTACGGATTCCCCAGGTAAATCGATAACGACAAGGACCTCACAGCGGGTGTGATTGTACAATAATGATTTTGTTTGATTATTATTTGTCCCAAATAGAAAAATAAATAACTATACCCTTCCATCCGGTTAAACTCGCAATCGCCGCGACGCGTCAAACCTAATACGTAAACATAGGTAGTGACTGTTCCTTCGCCAAGCGCCTCGCACTAGAAGTAAAAGTCACGGATCTTTCGGATGAGACCTTAAAAACCGAGGTCCCGTGTCACGGTAGGCGTTGGCACGATAAAGAACCCTCAATGCTCAATGGCCCTGAGTGTCGAGTATAGGTCTAAATTTGAAGCCCTTCACCGGCATACGGTGACGTCTCTATATGAGTGAAAAATTCTCGAATTGGACGTTAAACAATATTCAATAAATCAATCATCCAGTTAAACAATGGCTTATTGACTTTAAAGAAAAACATATCGACCTCTCCCTTTTTTATCAGTTGATATGCTTCAATATTAAGTCTATATATCGATAAATCAACCTCATAAAATTGGCTGATTATAAATATAGATTAGATTTGCAAGTATTCAGAAAATGAACTGTCATAAAACATAAACCTAGAGATATCAAGAGTATGACGCATTTGATAACACCTTACCTTTCGCTTTTGATCCTTGCTCCTTTTTGCTGACAAACAAGCAATAGCCATAAAATATTCATGATATGTGATATCAGCTGTAATTCTGAAATATAAAAAAATATATAAACCAACAGATGGGAAAAAGTCAATTAATTTTGAGGGTTTTTTTTATAGGGCATTATATTTAAATATCTTAATTTCTTAGCACAGGCGTTGAAAACAAATATCTTACTTGTCTTAACTGAGGTTAAAAAATCTAAAACGTATATATTTTTCCTAAAAATATGATTTGAAAATATAATTTCCACTAGAGTAAATTACAAATGACATTTGTAAGTTAATTAAAACAAATCACTTTAAGGTAATTTCTTATAAAAATAGTGTAGAAATATTCTATTTCAATACGTAATTGATTTTATACTCACCTCTGTTTTGAGTTGTCTTCAGATATCTTCTTGTTTGTTTCGTCAGGTTCTTGATTCTCGGACATAGTTTAATATTCGGAATAAACTAAAGGTATGTCGGAAATAAGATCACTTCAATAGCAATGAAGTAGTTGATACTGATATCAATAGTTTTATCTGGAATTAGACGACGCTTGTCGTGCTTGTTACGGGGTGCACGTTATCGATATATGAAAAAGTTGCAATACTTGCATAATTGTACTTAATACCTTTTTAAAAAGTTCTTAAGGAAATATGAATAAGATAAAAAAAAATCTGCTTTATATACAGACAAGAAAGGGGGAAATGATAGAAAGCATACAATAACACCACATAGTCGTGACTTAAAACAATATCAGGTCTTTCACCTATATATTTCTATGGATATATAAATGACATGAGTAAGGGATTTCTTTTTACATACTCACAGATGCCATTGTAAAAAAAATATGAAAACAAATATTCTAAGTATTTATGAATGAAATTTGCACAAAAAAAAATCAAAACATTTTTTTTCCATTCTCAGGCAACTACACTAGAAAGGTGTTAAAAAGTCATTAATATTTTCTTTAAAATAATTTAGAATTCCGTCTCTTACAATTTCCGATAAAGCTATCCTTTGAAATGTGATTAAAAAATCGCCTTGGGCATAACTTTTGGATAAACTCTCGAATATTTTTTTATTAATTAGATAACACATAAATAAAGTAAAATTTGGCTTTAAATTCCGGTGTCATAAAATTTATTTACCGGAATAAGTACTTTCCCATTAAAGGTGCTTAGACACAGATTTGAATTTAATATTTTCTCAAAATTTCTGTGTAATATCACGACTTATATATTGCAATAGCATTTCACACGAAAATATAATTAAAAACATATTTTATCTGGAAATTATTGGAACTACGAATTCCTGGACGCGTTTGATTAACACATCCTTGCACTTTCACAAATTTTATCTTTATCCTTAATATTTAAGAAAAGAAGCGATTTTTTTTTGTATAAATGAAAAACATTACATCTATAATCCAGAAAATTCAGAGTAGAAATGTGCTAAAGCAAACCCCCTCACTAATATCGTCAGCCCGTGCTCAGTGTTGTGTACAGAGTTTAACAAATTGAATACACCCGTGAAATGTAAACTGTTTCTATAAACAGGGCACGAGCTCTGTTATTGTTAATGTTTACGATTCACCGGGTGTGTTCGATTGTTAAAGTCTGCACACACCGCTGAGCACAGACTGACAATACTGTGAGTGGGTTTTGCTTTCGAGCATTTCTACTCTGAATTTTCTGGATTATAGTGTTAATACTTTTCATTAATACACAACAAAACTCCACTTTTCTTAAGTACTAAGAATAAAATAAAAAATTGTGAAAGTGCAAGGATGTGTCAATCAAACGCGTCCAGAAATTTGAAGTTTCAATAACTTCGACATGAAATAAGATTTTTATTATATTTTAGTATGAAATGCTATAGCAACATATAAGTCATGAAATTATACAGAAAATCTGAGAAAATATTAACTTCAAATCTGTGTCCAAGCACCTTTAAAAATGGCAGAACAGGAAAGGTCGCTATACCTCTTTTAACAGAGATGGTCCTTGAGGTGTTTAATAGAACCGCCAAAAAAATGTCCTTTTAAAACATTCATTTTTCTTCCAAATATGTCAAGTGAAACGCAAGGCGATAATCAAATAACAACTTACTTTATTTAAGTGACTGTTTTCCAATCCCGTGTTTTACGGTATCGGCCTTTCGTTTGATTTTTTACAAGGTTGATTCAAAGTCTTTCAAGAATAATAATAATAATAATAATAATAATAATAATTAACGTGTCTTGAAGACAGAAAATCGCAATAAACTAAATGATGAAATCTTTAATGCAGGATGTTTTATTTATTTAATGCTATACGACTTAATAATCAACGACGTGTAAATGCATGGTGCAACAAGAAGTCCTTTGAAAGATTAGTAATCTTTCATGGATTGAAAATCGAAAGGTCTTAAAACTATAAGCCTACAATACTTTTCCGTCAAATATGAACAATAAAGCAATCATCCATATGGACTGAACAATTACAAGAAGTTTAGTCCATATTAATGCAAAGTAAAGCTGATAGAGCTCTCTGATTAATAACAATAGTAACCAACAATGGATACATGATTGGACTTTGGAATTAAGAGAATAAGAATTTAAACAAAGAGAAACGAACAAAACAAGAAAAAAAGAAAATAGGTATGTTTTAAATTGAAAGTAATGATAAAAATAAAAAAAAAGGATAGTAATTTTAAATGCATATATTATCAAAACATTATGTAAAAAAAAAATGCAGCTTTTTTTGCCCCAGTTACCAACAAACGTTTGATATGTATCGTTGTACATGAAAAATAAAATTAGTGAAAAGGGTACCAATCAAAAACGTATTATTAAGATCTTATAAAAATATGCATGGTCATGATTCATGGATAACATGTGCGCTAATAAGAGCTTAATGTTGTCTGTAATATTCTGTATCAAAGTTACACTGTGATTGACTTTTCCAATATTTAAATTACACGTATAATTATTTTTAATACCTTCGAATTTTTAATTTTGCATTCTTTATACATTCATACCTATTGTCAGAATCAATATTCAAAATTTTCAAGAAAAAATCTCTTTTTAACAGTAAGGATATTGTAGTTAAGGATTGCATAATTCATAGTGAAAATTAGAGCCACCCACAAATAAACTGCCATCGAAAATAATTTCCACTTTATCTTTTCAATTGCAAAAATTTAAAATGTAAAGGGATTCAATATTCCAGTTTAGTCGTGGAATATATTTTAAAAAATGGAAAAAATAGTCTTATAAGTATGTGCTGATCACATTGTTGAGAATTTCATATTTCCCTTTTCAGATAGAACAATTAGACACATAAATATTAATTTAATAATTTAAACAATATTTAAAATTTTGATATTAAACCAAAAAATTACCTTTTTTAAGATAGGTTTTTAACATCGAAAACATGTCTTGTACTCGGACGGACGAACAGAACAACGCAAAATTAGAACCAAGAAAGAAAAAATAGTAGGGAATCATATGAGATGATTGTAGAGGTAAGTCTGGAGAACAAAGCTGAACAGAATAAGTCATCTTCATCATTTTATAAGCATTGAATTTGAAAATTATTCATTGCTCAAATATCTAGTACATAGTTGATGAAATAGAATACTTATTTATGCATTTAAGTGCATAATTACATTAAATGACAAAGATATATGATATATACAAAAGAAAAGAATTAAAAAAAACTATTTGGACAAAGTTCAAATATTATAATTCTGCAATTTAAAACAAAACACTTTATAACAAAATGACAGCAAATATCATTAAAAGGAAGCCTGTCAGAGGACAAAAAAATTTGCTGATAAATTAACAATGAATGTCAAAAAGTAAAGTCATAACAACGCGGTTACCTTCCTGCATTGCTAAAAAACAACCCTACGTTGTGTTGATTTTAACGGTTTCGAAACGTATTTTATATACATGTACCTGTGTGAACTTTTAAGGCAAAAATTTAAAAAAAAATAGGGCTATAAGATAATAAAACTTTGTTGATACAATGTAATATTTCATTTTATAAGACTTTATAGCAGTTATGACATTACTTTTAGATCAACCCTTGTAGTGTAGGTATTCTATCATTCTGAAAGAATTGTCCCCATTTCAGAAACATAAAGTCTGTCTTCGTTATCAATTGTCAAACTCCAAGGACAATCAATCCCATCATACAAGAGAAATCTGAGGAAATGACCATCTTTGCTTATAATGTGGAGTTCGCTATTTTCATTAGCTATTATAATGTTACAACATGAATCACAACAGAGGTACTTTGGTTTGAATCTGTCCTGCTGATATAGAGGATACGAGAAGCAAAAATCACCTTCCTTATTCACAACAGAATCATCAACTACACAGATATCTCCATTTCTATTTACTGAAATATTTGAAGGGTTTCTGTATATCGATTCTCCATTTTTCCCGTATTCGATTTCTAAAAGTCTTTCATGTCTAGTGGTGTACTTTACAACTTTTGCTTGAAATGAGATGAATAGGGTGTTGGGTTCAAAGAATTTTATTGCCCTTCAAGTCGCCATCAAATCCTAAAAAAAATATCACCCCTATGATTGATTTGTTTGATTCCACCTGACCCTGTGTATAAAAATCCGTCTTCAAATGGGGCTAAAATGGTAGAAACTCCATTTGCAAGAAAAACTTGAACATCTAAAAATTTACTGAACTTAAGTAAATCATGTCATTACTGGCGTATCTAATATAGCATTATATCCAGAATGTATTTCCCCTATAACATTTTGATTGCAGATAGATTTTATAGTAGTTAAAAAACCGCATGTGATAATAAACAAAACAATGATTCTGTTCCACATTTTCCAGGTGAGGGGTTAAACATTTCACACAAAGTCCTATCTTGCAAGGATGGCAAAAAACTGGACGTTTCTCTCACACAGCTCACAAGAAGCGAAATGTTGTCCACGGATAACAGAGTCATCCGCAATTTTCGTTTGTTTGTATTTCTACAATCGATACATTCAACCTTGCAGGGAAAAAATCATTTTGATAACTTGAATGTATGCTTCACTTCTTATCAAACGCAGAATTATTTTGAAAATAAGTAAAAGCAAACTTTAATATTAAACCTTCGGCCCCTAAAGAAAGTTTGAAAATGCAGATTACCATGATTTATACCTGTATTTATGAAAAGAATAGAACTTGAGGATTTTAAAAACATGGTAAGCGTGACAAAACATTTTGAATGGGTTAATGTAATGGATACGAGATTCCCAAGGGACAATGACCCATTTAAAAAAAGTAAGATGAATAGGTTATAAATTAATCTGAAAGTCTTATTTTTGAATTGTATGTGTTGTTGACGTCAATAAAAATGCAGTGATAGCTTAAGAAATAGAGGTGATTAAAAGTCGTTTAAAAAGAATAAAACGGGGATGTAAACAGGGAGAAGCTGGTAGTGAAGCTATACTCCTTAGAAGGACTCGTAATTATAGTGTTTCAATTCTT